GTATATAGTACTAGTAATAATCAATCCTAAAAATGTAACCATAAATTTGTACTATATCAAATTAAGGCTAATAAAAATCAACTGGCATTGTCACCAAAGTTAAAAAAAAAAAATAAAATAAAATAAAAAAAATAAAAATAAGAAAATACTAATTAAAAACTTAATTTCAAAAAAAATACAGAATAGATTAATACAACTCTTAAATACAAAATTAAAACAATAATTTACAAAAATAATAACAAAAATGTTCTAAAATATATTTTATATATTTAAAAAATATAATGTAAAAAGATTAATAAATAAGAAAATAAATAAAAATAATAAGTAAACTGAAGAAAGAGTGTGACAACCTAGTGAAGTGGTCAGGTTGTCAACCCTCCAAGTAGTAGGTTGGATGTTCAAATCCTATTAACAGCAAAAAATTTGAATAATCACTTATACAATATTTATATTATGACAACTGTTATTAATGATTGGAGTAGAATACCTGTAATGGTGGTCGTACCAGCATAACTGGCAAGTCATGGGGCATCTGTGTAAGTATGATGTTATACAGAGAAATGCAAACTGACAAATCAGAGAGTCATCTAAAGCCTGGCACCTTACGAAATTATCTGCATCACAGAAAATCACAGAACACACGTGGTTTCGATTATTTTCGGAGAGTCAGCAATAATTTTTTTTTTTAACATTAATATTTTATACTACTGCTATCTGTAATATTACTGTATTATATACAGTATTATAAGAATAGTATTCCTTTTTTTTTTTTTTAATTAATGTTTAATAAATATGAAGGGGTTTTTTTTTTTTTTATAAAAAAACTTAAGCATATGTTTACTAAAATCAGTTGTTAGAAGAATAGATCTAAGAATAAACAGGTATGTGTATGTATTCATAAAAGCTGTTATTTTATTTATTTAAAATATGCTCTAAAGAACTTTTTAAATTTTTAATAAATTCTGATTTTTCTTTCGAGCTTCCTTTATCCTCTACTCTCCAATATGTGTTATAGGTTCTTTTCATTAGTTCATTTACAACCAAGTGTCGATTCTTCAAGGCCTTATCAGCTTCTATTTTTTTAGGTATTTCAATTTTCACAACTTCACAATATTCATATATTTCAAAACCATTCTCTACAAACATTTTTGCTGAAATTGCACCCACACACTTAAAATTAATAGTTTATTACCATACATATGTTCATAAAACATATGTTGACAAGAAAGTAAGTACTAGTGAAAAAACAAGCAAAAACAATTAAGTGAAGTCAAGCTAGGTATTTCTTTACTCTTTTTAATTCTTTTTTCAACAGCGCAGGCTTCGGTAATGATTAACTGCTGGATGGGATAGAAGAACTTGTGAATCTCAATAAGAATTTCATTATCAACTCCAACAACAGAAATCTGCTTAATTTGAAATTCAAAGGCCGTACTTTCTGAGATTGAGCATCGTTTGGCATCCAGAGCAATAATTTTATGACAAGCACCTAATAAAAATAAAATAATAAATTTTATTTTTGTAAATGGTGAAATTGATAATGTAATATTTTGTAATAAAAATGTATTTTATTTAAAATATTTCTTATATGAAAAAAATTAATAAATAAATAAAATAAATATTTTATAAATAAAAAACTATTTTTTTATTAAAAAATAAAAATTTAAAGCCTGATTTTTGTATTATACCTATAATACTATGATTAGATAATGTCATCCATTTTAGATCACTATGATAGGACTCTAGAAGATTGGTTGAGGTTACTTGCAATAGAAGGGGTGAATGTTGCTGTATCCAGAGGGCACATTGATTCAAATTCTTTATGTAATTTCATGTAATATAGTTTTTTATACCAGGGACTTAACATGCACAAATTGCTTGCTGAATGAGCTCCTCACAACCAATTTTTGTAGTTTTATGCATTGCCTGAATCATCAGGCTTCGAGCTTTGGTTTCGTATATTTTACTTATCCATACCTGCATTATATGAACTGTACAGAAAATTACAGCACACTCTTGCTCACCACTGCGAAGATCAGAAAATGCTTTCCTAATGCTATTAGCCTCAACATGGCTTTGGTCAGCAAGGATATATCGGGGATTCCAGTGACATCCAAATCGTCTAATAATTTTCAAGGCATCTGTGATTGTGTCACTATCTTCTTTACTAACAAAAAAATAGGCACCAACATCTCAGCACCCGTATGTATTCCTTATGTACAAAGTAAATAGATAACAGTCATATTTGTTTATCTTGTGCGTCAAATTGATCTGAGTTAGCCAATCATTTTGTTCAAGCTTTACAAGTTGAAGTGGGTACACAAAAACTATATTATATATAGATTGACTCACATTGTTATAATGTTAAACATTATACCCTTAAATAAATAAATTAAGAATATATATAAATTAAGAAAATAAATAAAATGAGAAAATAAATAAATTAAAAAAATAAATAAATAAATAAAACATACTAGAAAAAGAGATGAAATTGACAAAAAAAATTCTTTCACAAAAAATTAATTATCTTGCAAACTAGTTTACAAGATAATTAATTTTTTGTGAAAGAATTTTTTTTGATCAATTTCATCCCTTTTTTCAGTACCAAGCCTATGTATATAATAAAATAAAAGATCCCAACCTTCATTTTTTAAAAAATGAATACATTCTGCAATGTCGAATTCTAAATTTATATTATCTCCAAAGTTTTCATTTTTTTTGTGCTTTATATACTTTTTGCTTAATGTTTGAAATCTCCTTTCATTTTAACTCTTTAACACTCGCACCCAAATCCAGCTTCCTAGTTGCATAGTCTTTAATCACACTCACAATGGTAAGTGGCAAGTAATTCTTGACTGCTTTCTCTTTCACTAATTTTCGAACTGCATCCGAACACTTTAACATTTTATTTTCTTCAAGTGTGTACATATGGTCAAGGCTGTTATTATATCATTTAATTTGTACTTTTATGCTCCAACAAAATGCAACACTCAAATTTTTGCAGAGTACAGGTTGGGAGGATGGATTTTTGTCTTTTTATGCTTTTCAAGAGGGATACCTTCTTTTCACCCACTTGAATGATTATGTTTCATAAGCCAGCATGTAAAAAATTTTTATGAATTACCATTAGCATGATTTTTATAGCTAAATCTGGACCAAACATTTGAAACAAACAGCCACTATGCTTGATCAAAATCATGCATTGAAACTTCAAATGGTTTATCAACATTGAAGAGAAGTTCACGTCTTTCATTAGTAGTTAAGAATTGAGACGTATAAAATTTAAGCATGACCTCTCTGTTTTCCTCAAGCATAGTGTTTTCATTTTCTTCAAATGTGGCTTCGTTTTCCTCAAACCCTACACTTTCATTTTTCTCAAACCCTACACTTTCGTTTTTCTCAAACTCTACACTTTCATTTTCCTCAAACCCTACACTTTTGTTTTCCTCAAACTCTATACTTTCATTTTTCTCTATACTTTCACTTTCCTCATATACAACATCCTCCTTTTCAAGTATATCCTCCTTCTCTTCTACAAATACACCTTTATTTTCCACAAAAAAATTACTCATTAATAAAAATATATACCAGTATACAATATATATTGGTCTCTTTACTGTGATTAAAAAAAAATTATATGCTTTGCGATATTTGAAAGTAAATAAAATTCAAAAAGAGGTAAAAAAAAAAAGAATCTTTACATACAATATATATATATATATATATATAAAAAAAGATCAGATTTTAAAAAAAAAAAAATTCTTAAGTTTTAGTATAAAATCTTAGAAAAAAATTCTTAGAGAAAAAGTCTTAAAAATCTTAGAGTATATAGCGATAATCTTAAATTTTTTATCCCTATTATATTCATAAAAAAATCTTAGATATTATATGGCTCTAATAACCAAATAGAATTTAAAATTTTAATCAATATGATTTTTTTAATTTAAATATTTTAAATATCTGAAAAAAATTAGGATTGATCATTTTCCGTAATTTTCTGTGATTCAGATAGTTTTATGAGGTGTCAGGCTTTAGACAACCCCCAAATCAGGTAGTGCAAACACTAGATAAGTTCTTGCGATTATATAAATCTGTTGAAATTAGGTAACAAGAAGTCTATTAGGAAGACCCGAGTAGAGAGGTAACTGAATCTTCAATAACCTTACTGTAAAGGCTAGCTCAGGAAAATAGATACCAAGGTCATAGTACCCGGTTATAGTAGCCAGATGGGCAAGAACCTCTGAGTTGGGAGACTTGAAGATACCACCAACCAGACTGCCAGAACAAACTGAAAGAAAAGGATATTAAGCCGACCTGATATACCAATAGACTGATCATAGTACTATATGAACTATCTGGATTGGGAGTTTGGTAAAAAGACTGGACAAAAGGCAGAGATATACTAAAGTACTGAGGTTATGCTGTGAAGTAGATGTTGAGATCTAAGTAAACTCTACAAAAACATAGTAGTTTAATGGTTAACCCTGATTGCGAGTATTAATTCTGCCATAACGATACTTAGATCAACTGTAAAAATAGATACAAAAGGCTCTGAAAGGTTTATCTCAAGAATAAATTAGTCCTAAGATTGAAAATGATGATCTAATACATCTGAGATGACCAGTAATGTTAATACAAGTTACAGGTTCAGAGGGTTTAAAGTGAAACACCCAAGCAGGAATGTTAGATATAGCAATTGATAGGAAATCTTCAGGCAGACTCTTAAATAAATAATATAGAAAAATTACATATGTAACCAATTGTATGCTCTTCTGTAGTGGTTTATTGAACCACAATACCAATAAGTGATTAATAAAAATCAAAAGACCAAAAAGGTTACCTTAATAAAAAAATAAAAATAAAAATAAGTAAACTGAAGAAAAAACAAAAAAAAAGATCCAAGTAAAAAAAAGAAGACAAATCAGCAAGAAAAAAGAAAGCAAAAGAAAAAGAAAACAATTGAAGAAGAAACCAAGAAGACAATGTTAAAACTTGTCATAAAGAGAAGAAGACCCTTTCATTATGAACTTTAAGTAGTCAAACAAGCAGCTTCTGTTTGAAGTAATGCGGCAAGTTGCACTTAGATATCATTAGGGCGGCCAGATGATGCTAGACTTAGTTAGGAATATTTATGTAATTGCAAAAGAAGGAAAAAAAAATATCGATATAATAACTACCCTGATTTTGTGATTAAAAACTCCATCTCACCAAAATCACATGATTTAAGATCGAAATATCGTAATGCATATAAAAAGGTTATCATTATTTTCAACTCGCTGCTTTATAGCTGATATAATACAATTTTTCCTTTTTTTCAACAAAAATAATTATCAATGTCGGTGAGCGGCTCTATAAAGAACGAGGCGTTTGCAAAAGAATCAAGCCAAATTCTACCTTCTGCTTCTGACTTTGCTTCTGATCCACATATGCACTTTGTTGAGGAAACAGGAAAATGGACGTATACGAGCGAGGATGGGAATACTTGGGAATATAATGAAGAACAACAGCAATGGTGTCAAATGGCAAGTCCCTAGCTCAATGATAAGTAATTCCTTGAAAAAGGTATTAACAACCAGCAAATCTTTAAAATAGGACGAAGAAGTTTTGTTGAAACTCCAACAACTCGCATATTCAGTTCCTGGTGTCGACGAAAGCGTAAGATACTTTACCATGATACAGTAAAAGTTTGGTACTTCAAATGACAACACGAAACGAATTTTCTGTGTTTTTGTGTCCGCCACCAAAGGAACCTGCTAATCCAGTGGTACGAGAAAAACGAAAAAAAGTTTACACTGCCGATGAAGTATGCGTACTGTGTAATTCTCTGTTTAATCCAATTCAAACATGGTGACTAATAAATATCCGATTCACGATTTAAGACTGATCAGAATGGCAAAAAACAAAAATCACAAAAGAAAAAACCAGCAAATACTTCTGTGTACGTCAGCGGGCTACCACCTGACGTTACCGTTGAGGAATTAGCAGAAGTTTTCTCAAAGTGCGGTGTTTTACTAGAAGACTTGAACTCCGGTAGTTTACTTAGCCTTAAGTTCGTCCCATATTACAAATGTTACGATTCTTAATACAAGGAAATATATCTTAGGTGGACCAAAGATTAAACTTTATAAAGATGACTATGATCGTCTAAAAGGTGACGCTCTCGTGACTTATCTTAGAGAGGAATCAGTTGATCTTGCTTGTCAGCTTTTGGACGAAACAGATCTTCGTCCGAACGAGGCTTCTAAAATAAGAGTACAAAAGGTATTAAATACAATTGCAAGCTTTCTAATTTTCTTATTATTATTGAAATTTTATATATTTTAAATCCAGGCGCAATTTAAGGAAAAGATGCCAAAACCTTCAGAAGATACCAACAACAGTACTTTAGTAAAACCAGATAAGAAAAAAGTCCAAAAAAAATTGCATCAGCTTGAAAAGTAGTCAACTTTGTAGTTAATTGCAAGTGTTTTTGTTCAAAATAAGTTTTTTTTTTTAATTTAAAATTTCATTAAATACTAGAAAATTGGATTGGTTTGAAAGTGAACCAGGAAAAAAAGCTGAAAGGTATAATAAAATCGTAATTCTGAAGTATATGTTTACATTGGAAGAATTGGAGGTATGTAAAATGGTTAAAATTTTTATAATTTACTGAATTGAGAATTCCATATATGCAATAAGTTAGAACATTCTATAAATTAGAACGACGTTAGTTTAATCTTGGACTTGAAAGAGGACATTCGCGAAGAATGTCAGAAGCTAGGCGAAGTAACCAATGTCGTATTATATGATGTAAGTAATATCTGGAAGAGTGGTTGTAACATTTCGTAGTCTTGGACATCTTTGTTTATAAATAAATCGGTTGAATTACAGAAAGAACCTGATGGCGTAGTGTCAGTTAAGTTTAAAGATCAACTAAGTGCCGAAGCTTGTGTGCTGGTAATTGTTTTTTTTTCTTTTTTTTTGAACCTTATTTTTTTTAAATATAATTAACAAAGGTCAAATTATTCATTTAGAAAATGAATGGACGATTTTTTGCTGGACGCAGGATCGAGGCACAAATATTTGATGGTAAACAAAAATATCAAAAGACTGGTTCCAAATCAAATGAAACCGAAGAAGAAGAATCTACTCGATTGGAAAAATATGCACAATGGCTAGAGCAAGATAACAGTGGACACCAGCCATAAATAAGCTAAGGTTCATTGAATATGAGACCAATTATTTGGTTTAAATGATATTTATTGTCGCTGGTTTTTTTTTTATTTGGACAATCTTTTATTAATAAATTAGTATAATATTAGTTTATATTTCATTTTTGATATTTTGTTATGGAATAAACTGGTTTAGCACGTGTTATCGTGATAGTGATCTTGTCAATAAATCGGCTAAAACAAATACAGTCATACTCCTCTACAGTCACCTATATAATCACACCCTCTTTATAAGCACCATTTTTTGAAAAATTATTGACAATATATATTTATTAAAAAAACTTTATATAATTACAATACTATTAAACTTTATAATTATATACTGTATTTATGATGTAAAACAAACAGCGTAATTATAGGAGGACGACTGTAGTCGGCTTAGTTAAGATCGTTAACCGATTAACTGACCCGGACTTAACCGAGTACAATCGGTTAACCGAAAGTGGTTCGGTTATTTAAAAATTAGAGTTAGATTAGAATTAATATTAGGATTAGAATTAGTGTTAGAGTAAGGTAAAATTATGAGAATATTTTTATTTGTTACACAACAAGGTTACTTAAACTTTTGTGTTATTATAAAAAATATATATAAATTATAGTTATTGTTCGAAGCGTAGTCAAGACATTAGACTTCTGTCACGGCACGTGACTAATCAATAAAAATTTGTATCACATATAATAACGTGTCAGATAAAGATTGTTGATAATTAAAATAAACTTTTTTATGCTAACAGAACCTGTTTCCTAGTAAATATATTTGACCTTACTTTTATTATTGTTAATGAACAGCTTTAGATATAAATTTGTATATTTTTGAACATTTTGAAAAAAATATAAATTAAAATTACAAAAAGTGTAGTGACCTAGTAAAGTGAATAGGTTATTAACTTTCAAGTGGTAGGTCTAAGGTTCAATTTCCATAAATGATGAATTTTGAAAATTATACTTGTGTTATGATAATTGTTTTTTGTTAATTAATTGGGTTTTAAGCATCTGTAATCTTAGATATATCAAGTTGAGTTTTATTTGATATTAAAAGCTTAAGATATTTATACAAAATATAATATTATATATACATAGAGGAATGTGAAAAACCAGTATTACATTAGGTTTTAGTACAAATCTATAATAAGATCACTAGGTGTAAAAGTTTAAGAAACTGAAAAAATAGAAACTTATTTGAAAATTTTGAATAAAGAAATAATATAAACTTTTGATAATACTGTTGAACTGATGAAAGCTTATAAAACATCTTCAAAGAAATTATTAAATAAATCAGATGACAGATATATAAGAGAAGCATATGTATCAACCAGATTATTATAATTACTAGAAGAAAAAAATATATAAATATATTATACTGAATCATTTGAATTGGTAGTTTGAAAAGTTCTATTAGTTCTAAGTAATAGTTAGTAAGAGATAATGAAGAAGATATTAGAAAAGATAAGTATCAGTATTTGGGTGAACTTTATAAAAATAATACTGATTTAATTAATAATCTTAATTACAAGTATTGGTCTTGGCTATAATATCAAATCAGATTAATAATAATAAAAAAATATAGCTTATTTTAGTAGATTTATCTTAAAAATAAAAATAGTTTAAGAATTAAAGTTTTATGATTAAAGACAAAAAGATTTGGAAGAGGTGTGGTGACCTAATAAAATAGACAGGTTGTCAACTTCCAAATGACAAGTTTAGTGTTCAAATCTCATAAATACTAAAATTTAAATAATTATATCTGTATTACAGTAATTGTGTCTTGTTAATTGGTTGGATGAAAGAAGATGATCTGTAACCTTAGGCACACTATCTCAAATGGGAGCTTAGGCATCTATGCAAAGTATAACATTATATGTACATAGAGGAATGTTAATAACTAGTGTTATATAAGACTTTGGTACAAACCTATGATAAGACCATTAGGTATATAACTCTAAGAAACTAGAGCACAGAAATTCACTTGAAAATCCTGAATAAAGAGATAGCATGAACTTTTGATAATACTACCAGACCATCAGAAGCCTCAGAAAGAATAACTAGAATAGAACAGATGATAATATGTATAAAAAAGCATATACCAACCAGACTACTAGAAATCACCAAAGGAAAAGGATCTTAGAATACCATATTGGGTTATCTGAATTGGTAGTCTGAAAAATTTTGTAGGTTCAAAATAAGAGAAAGATATTAGAAAAGGAAGGTATCAGAATCCTAGTGAACTTTACAAGAATATAGTAGTTTAATAATTAGTCCTAATTACAAGTGATGGCCTAGGTCAGAGCAGTACCAGGCCAGCTATAAGTATAGGATACAAAAGGTTCTGGTGGGCTTAGTATAAAGTTAAACATGACTTAATAACTATGATATATTTTAGTAATCTTGCAGTTAATAGGGTAAGAATGAATATGAGAACTAAAGTGTTTAAATAGAGAACCTACAGGTGGGTTCTAGGTATGACAACTAGTGTAGAACCTTTAGATAGACTACTTAATATAAACAATAACTAAAGTTATATGAGGATTAGTTGTATACTCTTTTTATAATTGCTTCTGTAGCTATTGCATACAATAGTTATATGCCAACTGATTATTAATAAACTTCTGAGTCACAATTACTTGTCTTAACATTAAAAAAAAAAAGATTTGGGTCTATAATTTGATAAAATTAATATTAGAATCAGATCAAAGTGTTTAAATGAAACATCTAAACAGAGGTATTAGATATAATAACTGGTAAAAACTCTCTAAACAAATTTCTTAAATAGATAATATAGAAAAATTATATATATAGTCAGTTGTATACTCATCTGATAATTTAATATGAATACATTTATTATTACTATTTTTTTTTAGTATTAAGGTGACCTCTTTGGTCTGAGCTTTTTATTAATACTTATAGCAGATATATGTTTTATATAGATGTATCTA